TGAGTTGGTGCTTAGAGCAGGCAAGAAAGTATGAGAAGTGAGAGTGAGCTTTCTCTCTGTCATCACAAAACAAGCAGTGCTTCTAAAGATTTGATGCCAAGTAACCCCATGCTGCTGCAAAGGTCAAAGCCAGTGGCTGCAACGCAGGGTCCTGTCCCCTTTAGTCCCATCTGGGCAGATGTGGAAAGAACACACCATCCCATTGACTTCTCGTCTTACACCAAGGGTAACAGCTGGAACAACCATTTGACAAACCAAAATACACATGGAAAAGGGAAGACAGAAGCCTGGGAGGTAACACAGAAGAAAGCAGCTAAGCAGACACATTCAGCAGAGCTGAGTTGTCCATTTTTCCATTCCTCCACCCTGCCACGAAACATGCCAAGGACAGCTCTCTGCCCCTGGGCACACTGCACTCAGGCACACCCTTGCACACCAATAACTCAGGAGCAGTCATCACTCCTCATCACCTATTCCTTGACTCAAGACTTGTCCCTTCTGGGACTTCCTTTAAGTCATTCTTCACATTACAGTAGCTTCTGCAAGTCCGTGAGGAGTTGCAAGTGGTGGGTCCTTGTGAAGTACTTGTCCACAATGTTTTAACACTGAGACAACTTCAAGAAACTTTAGAAGAGTCTCTGATTGCATTAAAGATCAACACAGCATTCTTCTGAATGAGCCCCACAATCTGGCAGAGCTCCTTCCAACATCAATATCAATTTCCTCCATCAACAGGAGGCAGAAGAATGGCAACTTCCTTTGTACAACACAGCCCTTAATTGTCCCAGATCAAATAGTGGCTCCCAGAGGCTATTCATGCTGCTCTACAGGTAACTATGTCCTAGACAAGATATAACAACTTTTATCAGCAAATGTTAAATGCAGCAGAAAGGCCAGAAGGTGTGTATCAACACTGCTAATAACCTTATTAGCATCACTGCACTGGCTCTAATGAAACACCCAAATCACTGCCGAGAACAGCCCAGGCACTCCAGTGACCAGAAAACACTGGCAGAGTCTTGCTCCTCTGAGAGGCAGCAAATCCATAGAAGTACTGTCAGATCAAGGTTTTCTCCCCTTTGTATCAGCTCCACTATGCCTCTGATCCCCCTCTTAATGACAGTCTTTACTGATTTCAGCAGAACTCAGCAAGACTGAGCAGAAAACAAACTAAAGAGGGAAATGTCAAGTGAGTCATTAGTGCATAGAGAAAAGAACCATGTCGTAAGTAGTCTTCAACATACTTCTTTAAAATAATGCCACAAATTGGGGGAATCCTTTGACATTTGTGAAGATGGAGCAGTAACAATCCCTGCACAGTCTGCAGGAGTGATTAATTCCTCCACTAAAAGGGGTTACTTACACCAAATGCCAATAAATATACAGATAAAATTAATCTGCTTATTTGGAAACCTCTAGATGGGAGTTCAGATCTTAAAATACAAAATCAGACTCGGAGAGACACAATCAAACCAGCACCAAACAAGAACATTTTCCCAACTTCGAACAGCAACCTGGTCTAGTGAAAGGTGTCCCTACCAATGACAGGGAGGGTTGGAGCTAGAGGATCTTTGAGGTCCCTTCCAACCCAAACTGTTCTAGGACTCTACATTTAGTCAGAGCAAGCATGGTCCCACAGTCTTTTTAACTCTGTTACAACACAAATGTGTTCTCCTTAGAGCATCCTTTGGTGAGTATTTTCATACACTTACCTCTGATTCAGTTTGCCTGGGTTACCACTACACAGCCCTTTTTCCTAGGTCTGGTTACTAGAGCAACAGAATCTGTTTTGGATTTGGTAGCAACATATTGCAGGCACCAAAAAAAAAAATCTGCTATTAGCTCAAGAAACATGAAACTACAAGTCATCAGCCCATGCCACAGAGGAATCCTCCTGTAATATCTCACTCATCTCTCTAATTATGAAACTTTAAGAATCCCCACGTCCTTGGCAGAACACAAGCCTGAGTGACCTCTGCCTCAAAGGATGCACGACAGAGGTGCACTGCCCACAACCTCCTGTGTGCTTGTCACTGCAGAGGAACCACATGACAGATTTGATGGACTTCATAGCCAGAAAAATATTTATATTCCACAGATTCCGCACACACATATTAATAAAAAAAGAAGGTGGTTTGGGGGGGAGTGTTCTTGGGGTTTGGATTTTTTTTTTTTTTTTAAATAACCAGGAGTCTTCCTGTATTGTCATTTCACTGCAAAGTGACTGTATTAGATATTGTTACTTCACTTAACTCTTGTACAACTCAGAAGGAGGAAAAAAAAGCCCTCTCATTGCACAGAGTTGTCTCTAATTCACTGCCTTGGGACACAAGGGTTTTTATGGTAGAGGTGAACAATGACTAGTCCTTAGCAGTCAGGTTTCTTCCTCCCAGCCACAATACAGCCCAGTGCAGCACATACGTACTCGATGTAAGCAATGAACTAAAGACAGCACGAAGTGGTCAATCCGATCATTTCTCAGCCACAGCCAGCCATTACATAGAGTTCAGGCAGACTATTATCACTGTTATTAGGAAGTTTTTATCCTGAGAGAACAATCTATGCCAGATTTGCTCCTAATTTCAACTGAGGGAACTTACTCAAAAACATTTTATCTGGTCACACACAGTGTAGCCCCCACCGAGTCAGTGTGCTATTATGAGAAAGCAAACTGATATAAATATAGCACAGTGACAGTATCCACTCTGCAGTTACTTCCTCTGCAAAACAGAGCAGAATGAAGGGGGTAAGATGCTCAGCCAGCTTTCTGCTAAGGCCACTGAAAACTGCATTGATGACATCAACAAAAAAAAATCAGTTAAAGACAAATCTGATCAAATAATTCTCAAACAACACTTAAACTGTGGAATTTGACCTGCTCTCAAGTATCCACAAACATAAGATGACATTTCCATTAGTTTCTTCTCCATTTATATTCATTCATGGAATAGATTTTTTCCTGTTAGCTTTTATTTTCACTAGCCAAATTGACTGTAGGTTGATGTAAGAATTAATCATCCAATATCTGAAATTCTACTTGTGACAGATAGGCTGGGAGAGGGCAGATATTAAACCTCATTGCTGGCTGAGTGTGCACACACATTCACTCCTATGCAATCCATAATTCATATGTAGAAATTCAGATTATGATTTTGATAGCAAAAGCCAGAAAGCAAATAAATGCTTGTTTTCTTTTTCTTTTCTTTTTTTAACTCTACGTGTAGAAAGGAACATGATCAGAAACATATCTCTGCAGGAAAAATAATAAAGCAGCATATAGTAAGCAGAAATCATTTTCTGGCAGTATTTTCCCAGCTACAGTTGAACTGCCAACTTTAAAGATGTTATTTTAGCATAGAAGATGAATGTATCTCAGGAACAAAAAGAATCACTCTTCCTAATCCTCCTCTCATGCACCCTCCTGCAGCCTGTTCTCAGACATGAAGTATTGCTTAAAAATGCCCATGGAGCAGACTGAAAGAAGTTGCTGCTTCTCTATATGGTTATTTATAATAGATAATCTTTAGATAGATAATCTTAGAATCACTCTCAATTCCAGCTCATCATTTATGGTGTTGGCAGAGTTGCTCCAGTGAATTTAGCCTCATTATTCACCTTTGGGTTGTACAGTGTCTTGTATTTTATGCATCACCCTTTTTTATCCAGTGGATCCCTCACAAGCACTTAGAGAACCAAGTGAAGGTGAATAATGATCCAAGGGCAAGGCTCAATGACGAAATACTATGATTTTATGGCCAGTTACAGAAAAACGTGGACACACTTTGAATAGGGAGATGAACCTCTTGAAGAGAAGTAGCAATACATGCAGGAACACCACAGCAATAGGCTTTCCAATAGGCTTCTGCCCTATCCCAAGAAACTGAATTTCACTCAAAGTCAACAGGACTGTTCAGTTTTGCTGTCGATGGCCACACCCACCTGCATTCAGTTACTCTTGGGAACTCGCTACAAATGTCTTTGGAAAAAACTCAAACAGCAATGAGATCATCCATTCAGCTGAAAGTCACGTCAAGATAGGGATGATGTGACAAGTGTGCAGTTTTGGTTACTAGAAACTATGCTAACAAGTGCAGAAGGGTCTCATTAATGGCAGCACACACTTCATGGATCTGTTGCATTGGAGCAGTTTATCTACTGACAAGTCCTGCAGAAAGAAGAATGAGCCACGCTGGCAGGTTTTTTTAAAGAACAACTTTACCCACAACATCCTCTTTAAACCTGCTGGGAGGGGGAATGACTGCTGAAACCCACAAGCACTTTACCCTAATAACAATGATGTTTCATTGGGTAACTAAAGCCAAATTTCATAGCTTAACCATCTGAAAGAATTTTGCAACATGATCACCAGAAACATGAGTTCTATTTCAGGCTCATTGTATCTCAGAATAGACCTCACCAGCTTCGCCTTCCCATTCCATTACAGGGATCACATTATCAAGGGTCCTGCCACAGCATCGTGGGTCACAGCACCCACTCCTTAACAGGCACTTCCTTTCTAAAATGTGACAGTGAGGGTGACAAGACATGCATGTCCTCTCAGTCTCCTTATATTGCAGTGATGACTCAGACACATGCTTTGGAACAGGAAGAGAATGAAGGTATCTTGGGGGGAAAAAAAATCCCCGCCTCAATTATCATCACACATACCACTTGAAAATTTTTCATCTAAAACTAAGCAGTTACCAATTTCTGAATTTAAAGCAATCTGTTCAATCACAACAGCAGGAGTAAGCATCTTCCTAACCATCCAGTAATAATCACCATGGCCATCGACCTTTACCATTGCTACAATATGAGCAAACATCAGAGTATTTCCCTGCTGCTTGATACAGGGCCCTACGCCAAGTTGCCTTCACAAGCACAGCAGCACATGGAGAAGAGACCTTGAGGCATCCCTTCCACTGGCATCAAACACGAAACTAGAGCAAGATGCCAGTCCACAAGGGAAGCCTTAAGTGAGAAAGTTCAGAGAGCCTTACCTATGTACAGGGAGGAATCTTTCCGCCTCACGTGGTCGTCGATGTAGGAAACTCCCAGGGGCTGGACAGGGGTAGCACCAATGCCCAGGAGGACCTGTGCTCCAATGAGCAGCAAGTACATCATGTTGGTAGCAGTTCTATTCCTGCAGATAAGGTCCGGGTCTGGTCCCTCATCGCTGGAGGACCCGTTGACAGCACACACATCCCTCCCTTCAGCCCCCCAGCGTATTTCTCCCGACTCATATTCGTACTGGTGGGTCAGAAATTCAGGCAACGCGGAAAGGAGGGCACCCAAGGCCATGACTATCCCTCCACATCCTATTAAGCGTGGCCGGTGTCCTCGGGCTCCGAAGTAGCTCACGAAGAGGATGAGGGCCAGGTTGCCAATCTCGAAGCTGCTGGCAATGACGCCCACGTCAGCACTCTGAAGGTTGAATCGCCGCTCCAAGGTGGTTAAAACACTCACCTACAACAGAGAAATCCAGAGAAAATTACTGAAAGGGAATGTGACCTCCCTTCTGCCCTCCCCATATGTACTGCTAAAGTGTAAATTGCCTTGACTTTTCCTTGGAGCCAAAAGCATACACATCAAGGGCATCCAAATCACAGTATAGTAGCTGACCTCCAAGCATGACCTGACTATTCAAATACAGCCACATCAGAAGGTCCTAATACCAAGGGACTTTTCACAGCCTACCACCTGTCTGAACACGTGTCCATTTCCAAATTCCTGCATCCATCAATGTATATTTTGGATGTCTGCAGACACCCATGACTCCGTGATTGGTTACTCTCTCTTTGGGCTTGCTTTCTGTTTGAAGGCACAACCTTCACAGTGCGTGGTCCCACAGAACCAAGGCACAAACCACACCAAGCCTCACATCATGCCAGGCACCCAAACCTTCCCTTTGGAAGGAACTGCAGTTAGGGAGCAACAGAAAACCCTGTGGATACTTTGCTTGCACACTGGCACAAGTCAGCTGGAGACAGTGATGTACAAATAGGCAGTTTGGCTGGCACAGAAAGCTTCTACTAAAATATATAAATAAAATGCTGATCAAAGGGTTTAAACTGTTTGTGGATTAGTTAATGACTGGAATCGTCACAGAGTATTTTTGAGAAGACAGGCCAATTAAGGTTTACATAGAAGATTTAAATCCACCATGAAGAAGGGATGATTTAACAAATAGGGGTTATTTAACACTAAGAAGAGAGAAGCACATGAATAGTCTTCAAATATTTAACATTGCTGCAAAAAGGAATGACCTGTTCTTTGAATTCAAATGGACAGAACAAGAAGTGACAAGTTTAAACTGCAGTAGAGATGATTCCAGTTAAATACAAGGTGGGGAGACTTTTACTGGAAAGGATTCTTAGGCACTGAAACATGCTGCCTGGAGAAGCTGCAGAGGCCTTTAAAAGAACACAGACCAGCATCTGCCAGGAAAGACACAGGTACGACTGATCTTGCCACAGGGTAGGAAAATGAACCAGATCATCTGTTGAGAGCTCTTCCAATCTTGATTACATGGTGCAATGAAACACAAGGTGGATTTTCTGCAACAGTCACAGCACTGACCAGAGCATGAAGGATGAACCATTAGGTACTTCACCTGCCATCAGGCCTGCTCAAGGGAAAACACAGGGCATTCTCATGTCTACGGCAGTGTGCCTCTTATATAGTAAAAAAAGTAACAAAAGAAAACTTGAACATGTCACAGAAATGCCAAAAACTTTTACCTTGAATAAAAAACTATCTAGTTTTTTCAGACTGGGTAAGATGAAGATATTTAAGGTTGTCCTAAAAGAGGCAGGTTTCTCTATTCAAAAAAAAAAAAATGTGAAAAAGACCTCAGAGCAGAAGGTAGCCCCTGGATAGAATAAAAATAGCCTCCCACTGGAGGCACTGAAAATCTTTGCTGATAAACCTCACGAAGCAGGAGCCAGTCTGACCGACTTTAAAGTATTCTGACAGCAGCTCTTCTCCGGGAGCAGTTAGCCTCTGCTAGGGTACACCAGGGCACAGTTGGACAAAGACATCCCCGTCGGCAACAAAATGGGAAATGGAAACAACCCACTTCTGCTGCTTTGCATCAGCAAGAGCTCCCAAACCTGACCCTGGTACGTGTCCAAGTCAGATCTCCAAAACTAGACTGTTGTAATGTTTTCTGAAAATTCAGCCTTCTTCTCATACAGGCTGTTATTTTATACTACCACTGTAATCCTCCCCTGCTACAGAGCCAAGAACTAAGGAAGGACAGGAGGGAAAACCTAAAAATCGAACCCTGTGACAGGAGGCAGCGCAAGAGCAATAATTCTTCCCACACCAAAGCCAAGTGAGGATGTGCATGTCAAAGGCAGAAGAGATCACCACTTCACCTGCTACACCAGGTGCAGGTCCCTGTTGGGATGAAACAGCTCTGTGATTCGTGAGGGAAAACGATGTTCTCTGTGCGAGGGCACAGCACAGCCTGTCCCTGCTCCAGTGACCTCGGCTCTGCAAGCAGTGCTCGAGCTCACACCTAACAGGGACACTGCTGCTCCCAGAACTCCATGGGAGCCATAGAAGAGCAGAGCAGGTGGGGGACAGACACTGCTAGAAAACACTATGTTGGTATTGTCAAAGCAAGGCACACCAAGGAGGAGGGATACAGACAACATCCCACTGCCTCAGGCAGTCCCACCAGGTACTCGTGTGTCAGAGAACTGTAGAGTGGTTTGGTTTGAAAGGGACCTTAAAGATCACCTCGTTACAGACCCTTCACTGTGGGTAAGGATTTATCACCCACAACACAGGACTGCTTTTACTGCAAGGTATGATCTAATGGTGGTGCAGTCAGGTGGGACTTCTGGCCTGAACACCACACAGCAAACACCAAACTTCACGCAATGCAAAGCCCTGGCAATAGGAACCCTCCTTTATGCTACCACCTCCAGCACGTCCCTAGAGGAACTCAGCTATAGCTAGGGTCCCATGAACACCAATTTCGGTAGAATGGGGAATCTCTCTAAGATGAATATGTAACTCTGACCATGCAAAATCATATCTGTGGTGCTCATTTCTGAGCTTTACCTAGATAGGAAACTCATGATTACTCATTACAGCTGTGTAAACTGAGGTAGAGAGCCAACTATTAATGAGACAAGTACAGCAAACAAAATTAATTTCTGATGGAATAATTTAGGCTGGAAGACTGAAAGCCAACAGAAGTGATTTCCCAAGGCCAACTGGTATTAACTAGCTTTGGATTTCTCCCACATTTCGACCTGGCTGCCAAATTTTAGGCTTTGACCATACATACATATAAGTGCCTAGAAATTGGGATAGTGTTTAGAAACACTTGGGTGCCAGGCCTGAGAAGAGTCAGATTCTGTACAGCTGGATTTCAGATAAAAATACTGTACCATTTTTAAGTGTAATTCACAGTGACAGTGACAGTAAATTGGTGACAAACCTGGGAACTAAAACCAGAGTCCCAATTCTCATTCTGCTGTTATTTCAGTGGACTTGAGTAGTTCTTTTCCTTTTCACAAAAGCTAAACCACTCAAAACAGGGAAAAAGAGTCTCACCATCCCCTAGGACTTTCTTGCTTTACTTTGGTGAAGAGCTTGAAATGAAAGGAGAAGGATGAGGATGACAACACAAAGCAAACTCCAACCCTCCTGATAAAAGCTGGCAGTTCTTATTCTTTTGGCCAGACCACACTGCATTTCCCAGCTTGCTCCTTCTGACTGTAGCACTGCTACCCAGTGGTACCAGCTCTTCCTTTACTAAGTGGGTTATGAGGAGCAGTGGGGTATGGTGAAAGAACAAATCCATCATACCATCCTGGAGCATCCAGAGAGAAAGAGCATCCAAGTACAAAGTGCTGAGACCAGCGTCAGCAGAGTAGCCTCAAAGCACTGACAAGTCATAGCGAGGGGAAAAAAAAAAACTAAATCCCAAAATAAAAACAGGGCTGGGAAAAAAACTGTCAACACGCAGATTTTTAGCCAGGGAACAACAGGAACACAACTGCATTACATCCATGGTGCCTGCAACTCAGAGAGCACAGCCCAAATACCTGCTGTGACATTGGCTGTGACCTTGCAAAGACCAACTACAAAATCAGCATTAGCACAGCAATGCAAACCTGCATCTGTTCAAAATATGGCTAGAATCATTCTCTCACCCTCAATGCCCCATCCTGATGGGACTTCCTGCATATGAGGTAGAACCCAACTAAATACCTTCAGGTTCCATGCGGGATGCTCCTGGTGCCCTTGTAACTGTGAAATAAAAGAGGACTGTACTGCCCATATCTCCTTGCACAAGCCTGCTCCCCAGCAGATCAGCCATCACCGCTCCCAGACACCAACTCTGTTTATTGAGTTACATAAAATGTTGCAAAAGACACAGGTCCCTGTAACATACTGATGTCATGTGAAAAGGCTGCAAGGATTACAGAGAGTCCCTGTGTGCTGAGACCAGGTTGACTGTTCAAGAGCACAGCCCTCGTGGATGCTGGTTTAATAGCAGGGATGCAGGGAAGTGGCTTCAGATGAACAACCTCCTGCTACAACACAGTGGGAAACACCAGGAGCACATGTTATTAGCTGTGAAGCTGCTATTTCCCAGCTCCTGTCAACTTACACAGCTGTTTTGCCAGGGATGGAAAGAATTGATTGAGAGGATATTCAGGTAAAAAAAAAGCTTCTAACCTAAGATCAAAATGGTACCAGGAAGCCAGTCCATCAGAACTCATGAAAACAGGATACAGCAGAGACATGCGGTCTGACCCCAAGAAGTCAGCGGTGTAAAACCACCCACAGAACCAGACAAGTCCATAGCAGGCATGAGGAGAGAGGCAGGGCCAGCCTTGGAATCATGGCCAATGCCAAAACCCACGATAACGGGGACAGCACTGAACCTACAGCTTCCTATGGGAATTCACCTGTGCTACAGACAGCTGTACTCTGCCTGCCACCCTTATGTCCTCATGTGTGTCCTGCAGGTCAGCGGGGCTCTGACCATCAAATACAGCACAAATACAGCACCTGCAGTACACAGATCTCAGCTGTGCCAGCCTCACTGCCTTTTTCCATGATTCCCATTTCACTCACTCCAGACATCTCCAACTCAGCTTTTAGGAGCAGCTCCACTGGATTGAGCTATGGCATCAGAGACATCAGCAGGACTGTGAAGCTGTTGTTAATGCACAGATTCATGCTCCTCCCTCCAGATTAGGTCTACACCTGAGCAGTCAACTGGACCACCACAAACTAAACCAATTTGGATACCTGCACACCACACTTTTTCATGCAGAAAGCAGTCTGGGGATCTAGAAAGATCATTGTAACTGAGCCTTCTGCCTTTATGTGAACATACTGTAACATACAATAACAAGAAGTAATTAAAACTTATACCATGATTGCACTAAGTTCTCTTCTTACCGAGCCACAGCAGGCTGCACACATGCATTTGT